ATTTAATCTCACCTCTTCATTTTATATGGGCACAGAGAGGTTAAGACATTTACCTAAACTTACACAGTGAGTCGTCCAAATGACATTTTTCAAAAAAGGGCATGGTCACATAATGGGAGGCCAGTGTTAATAGCTTGTGTTTCCTGTTAGAATGTTTGCATTTCTTTCAGTTAAATAAAGAGCTAGATTTATTACAAAAATACAACTTAAGCCATGGTATAACCACAGCAAGTTTTTGAAAACCTGAGAGTCAGAGCACGGTAGCTCATGAGAATACCACATGCAATTCCGCAGTATGACCTGCTCTCACTGGAAATCTTCTCTAACCCAGATCATCTTGACACAATATTTGTGTTGGTTTTCATTTTAGGTCACTTCTTAAAAAACACTTCTAGTCTTTTTTAATGATACTGTTTTCTGAAAGTGAGCATTATCTAGTTTAATAATCCCTGAATTTACTCTGATACCTTAAATCCTTGTAATTGTTGCGTTCTGAAGATAAGTTAGCAACTAGCACTTAATAACAAAAATGTGTTAATCTCCAGTGTGCATTTAACACTTCTGGAGACTTCCTTTATTGCCTACAAGGGCTGTGAATAAATGAGAATCTTAACTTCTACAGTTTTTCTTTTGGTTACCTAAAAGTATGTTGATTAAACCAGTGAAAAATAAATGTATTTTGAGTAATAGTTAGAATTCTCTATTTTGTTTTTTATCTCAATGACAAAATTGGACTGGCTGGTCCATAAAAACTTAACTTTGAGTATTTGTTATTATTATAGTAATTAGAATCATGTCTATATCAAAAAAGAATAGAATTACTAAGTATTTATGGCATGTGTATGATGATTTTTTTTGGCCTACCTGTATATTTATAGTATTATAATGCTAAATATATGGTAATTTGATTTCACTGTAGCATGGAATAATTAATCCCTAAGACATAGTTTAGGGCTAATAGACAATTCAGAAGGGATTCATTTGACTATTCTAAGAAGCTACTGAGTCTGGAATTCACAGCTTGGTAAATTCTCACTAACTCCAGAAGTGTAATGCATTAGTATTGTTTATTTTGAAGATTTATTTTCGGAAATCATATCTTCTTTAAATGAACTCCAAAAAAAAGCCATACCTTATGTTAGGCTAATTGTAGACAGACATGTTCCAGAGAACCAGGCCATTCTAGGAATGTTGCTCTTACAGTTCTGAAACATCTTATCCCCAAACACCTAGACTGTTATCCTCTCTCTCCTCCTCCTCATTCCCCAGCTAATTGAGACATAATTACCTATGGGGTTTTATTTTTGTAATGAAATTCATAACCTCTTTAAAATTTGGCAAGGTTCGATAACTGGGAGGGAGTTTTGCACAATTTTGTACAACACTGGATTATACAATAGTGAAGAGTCTTTATCTTGCTTGTATGCTAGATCTGCCTGGGCATTTTTTCCCCATTATTTTGGCAGAACAGGAAGTAACTGACAGCATTGCAGAGTACTATTAAAACAATTTGACCTTCACCATATACCCTTCAAAATGTGAATGGACAATTGGACTTTGTGTTTCTAATTGTCTACAGATGTTCTTTCCTGTAAGTCAGAAAGAAAAACTTGTTTTTTTATTATGTGAAGTTCTTTTTTTTTTTTTTTAAAAAAAAGTTACCCAAATTACTTTTGGGTAACTGTTTTCCCTACTGGTAAATAAGCATTTAAATATAGCTGAGGGGAATTATCTTTGATAAAGCCATTATGTTAGACACATATGTTGGAAAAAATTACCTTATATTTAGGGAAACAGCATACCCTAATTTCTGGCTAACCAAGGAGTAATCAACCAAGAGCAGGTGAATATAGTACACATGGAAAAATGGGGTAAGGCTGAATTTCACTTCATGAGAGTTCATGCTGTGAATATGCTGCATAAATATATGTGTTATCTTTTTGCTTCCCTCCTCTCCTTTTTTTTTTTTTTTTTTGGTGAGGAAGATTAGCGCTGAGCTAACATCTGTTGCCAATCCTCCCCTTTTTGCTGAGGAAGATTGGCCCTGAGCTAACGTCTGTGCCCATCTTCCTCTACTTTATATGTGGGACCCCTGCCACAGTGTGGCTTGATAAGCGGTATGTACGTCTGCTCCCAGGATCCGAACCGGCGAACCCCGGGCTGCTGAAGCAGAGCACGGGAACTTAACCACTACATCACCGGGCCAGCCCCTATCCTCCTCTCTTTTTTTAAGAGAGATTTTTTAAAATTATGTCCTTGAAATTTCTGAAAATTGTCAATTTCACATTACAAATTTGTGATTCCCATGAACAACAAAAGGGTCTTTCTCATGCTGTCACTCACAGACTTAGAAAAACTTATTTTAGATGTCAATGATACAAATTTTCCTAGAGATAGAAAATAATTTCCACTAATTATTCCCCCACGCCCCTTCCGCCACCATTGCCAACGTGACTCTGCGTGGTTGTGAGTCCAACAGAATAATTTAATATATTTCTAGAGCTTACCTATATACCATTTGTGTGAGGGCTCTTTTTAAAGAGAACAGAATGGTACCTCTTCCTTATTTGTAGCTTGGTTAAGGCAAAGAAAGGTAAAGCTTTCTTTATCTTTGGTGTTAACTTCTGTGCCTGATCAAATGCCATAGTAATTGGGAAAAGGTGACATTTCACTTTTCACTTCTCATATATGGAACTGTATTCAGAAAGCCAGAGTAATTTACCACCTCAGTGAGGGGCTAAGAGTGACAGAACAGCTCTCTGGACCTCCTAATACTGTAATTACTTCCTTAGACTTTTATGTCTCTGCACATGTGCTTGTGGGTTTTTTCTTTTTTTTAAACACTAGGGATGTTTTTCATAAAATTTCATGTGACTTTTCTGGGCCAAGAGCGATGCAGCAACAGCCAGCCTGGGGGCCATGCCATTGAACACCTGGTATTCTTAACCCGTCACATGCCACCCCCGTCTGTCGTACAGCTGAGTACAGAACAGGACAGCGGCCTGACTGCACTGTTTGCTCTCAGCCTTAGTAGATCGCAGCTTCATTCCCTTTAGCAGGAGCGCTATCATTCCTCTTCATCAAGTGATATTCATCTACACCCTCCCGACCTTAACAGATTGGCAGGTCACCTGAGGATTTTTCAGACGAGATGAAGTTTAGGGGCAGCAGTCCTCTGTGTTCTGTATGGCCTACTCTTACTCGGAGCCCAGAGGTCTCAGGGGATTGGTCAATGGTCAGTCCATCTCATCTGAGTGAATGTAAAATGAATTTCTGAAATGAGGCTTCGATGCCTTGTATGTGGGATATTTAAGGACTTGCTCTCATTGGGATCACGTGTAGCCCGAATGTATCTGTGGTTCTGTGATACCAAGCAGGACCTGCAAGAGATTTAGTGTGTATGTTGGAGCATCCTGGGGTCCCAGTCACGAGATGGAATAAACTGCAGCATCATGGAGCGTCAACCTAAGGACTTTAGAAATTTCATCTAACATTTGTTGATCCCTTACTTTATACCTGCCTGGCATTCTGCTTGGAACCAGAAGGACAGAGTGAATAAGACACGGTCTCTTCCATCTAAGAGCACACAGGCATATAGGGGAAAGCAAACATCTGAGCAGATGAGTACAGTAACAGACTGTCTGTAGGACCGCAAAGGAAAAGTGATCAGTTCTCCCTGGGTGTTAGATCAGAGCGGGAGAGATGGCGGAAGCCTTGAGAAAGGTTTCAGAGAGGAGGCGAGGCTTGAATTAAATCTTAAAAGATGAGTAAGTGGGGCCAGAGGACAATATTGCGGAATGACATACCAGGCAGGGAAAGAGCCTGAATAAGTTTTGGGACTATGAAAGAGCTTGGCACACACTGGAAACTGCAAGAAGCAATAACATGGCTTGAGTATAGGATGTAAGGGAGGGCATTCGGAGAGATGGCGCTGGAGAAATAGCCAGACCCAAATTGGTAGAGCTGGGCCTTGCTGCAGAGTTTGGGACTTTATCCTATAGTTCCTGAGGAACTGGTTGCAAATGTTTAAGCTGGTAAATGACACAGTGAAATTTACGCTCTGTAAATCTTTGCTCTGTGAAGGGTGGGTCTGAGGAGGAGATTGATGCATAGAAACCAATCAGGAGACCATTATAGTGTCTAGGTGAGAGATGATGCTGGTCTAGACTAGAGGAGTAGCTGAGGTGAGGGGGTGGAAAGCAGCAGGGCAGAGCTATCAGAGCAAGAGGAGGAGAGGGATTAGGGGAGACAAGAAGGATATGTAAGATTAAAAATTAAAAATGTCGTGGCCTCCATTTTGCATGCATCAAGAGGTGGTTCCAATCAACAATTAATAGAGCATTAGTCTTCTAAAGCAAAGAAGACACAATCCGCATACCCCACAGTCTTGCTTGTAAAATGTCTGTATAGGACCAAGATTTCCAGCCCTCTGGTAAGAAGTCCATTTTAAATAAATAGTGCACCCAAACAGTGCGTTAATATGCATGGTTTTTCACTGTAAAATGTAAGCATTTGCTAAGATAGAATGTGTTATCTTCTATTTAGAGGCTCTGTGGGATAGTGGCTGGACACTGGGCTGGTACATCCTTCCGAGTGTTAACTCTGGCACATGCAAGTTTTGGACAATGGACTTAACTTTCTTAAGCCTCATTTTTCTCAACTATAAATATTAGGCTAGTAATATTGCCTTATGGGTTATCTGTGAGAATTAAGTAAGATTGAAACATATGAGAGCAGTAGCCCATACTGGCAAAGTAACTACCAAATGCTACTAACATCCTTCTTTTATCTCTTTTTGTCTCCTCAGAGGATGTTTAAAACGTTGCACTTTCTTTTTCTTCTCTGTGCTAAGCCTTACCGTGGCGAGGGACCTGGGGTCCAGTACAAAAAAGCGTCTGTGTTGTTGTCCTCACATTTAAATTCCTTCAGGAGAGTTCACGTGAAGTGCTTGATTTCCTGGGAAAAGGCATTGATTATTTCTCTCTCCGCTTTCCATACAGGATGTCAGCTGCAACGAGATCACAGCCTTGCCCCAGCAGATAGGTCAGCTGAAATCTCTCCGAGAACTGAATGTCAGAAGAAATTACCTTAAAGTTTTACCACAAGGTAAAAAAGAAAGGGGAAAAATGAATAAAACAGGAGACTTTTATTCTTTTTTGTTCACTTTTGTGAAGGTGGATCTAGTCATGTTTGTGTATGCCTATTCATATTAATTATAATTTGAATTTCACACGTAGATAGAAAAATTACATTTAGTTTTAGTCAAGGGTACAGAAACACAATCATTCCCCTTTATAAGACTGTGTGTGTGTGTGCGTGTGTGTGCGTGTGTGTGTGTGTTAGTTTGCTTAAGTTCCCATAATAAAGTGCCACAGACTGAGTGGCTTAAACAACAGAAATTTATTTTCTCACAGTTCTGGAGGCTAGAAGTCTGAGATCAAGGTGTTGGCCAGTTTGGTTTCTTCTGAGCCTCTCTCCTTGGTTTGTAGATGGCCATCTCCTCCCTGCGTCTTCAGATCATCTTCCCTCTGTGTCTGTCTCCTAATCTCCTCTTCTTATAAGCACACCAGTCATTTGGGATTAGGGCCCATCCTAGTGACATCATTTTGACTTAATTACTCCTTTAAAGACCCTATCTCCAAATACAGTCACATTCTGAGGTACTGGGGGTTAGGAGTCCAACATATGAATTTTGGGGGTGCACAGTTCAGCTCATATCAGGAGGCAACGTGAATAGGTTTTGGTATGGATGTCTGACGTTCTGGAACATCAAGCCAAAAGTTTAGTTGACATGTTTGTCCTGTAGATCCGGCTGTCAGGGTTTCTGGCCTTCGGGATCTGGGAGCCCTGGTTGGGAACCCCCTGTATCTAGAATCTGCTCCTCAGGCGAGGGCACTCCCCCTGCTGACGTGATTCTTGGACTAACATCACTGGTAGTTTCGGTGAATTTCTCAAAGGCCAAAAGCAAGGATGTCTCCAGAGCCTTGGTTTTGAGACTCGGTGCCCCTCAGACAGCCCTGCTCGGGAGCCAGACTCGGGCAAACCCTTCCCTGCAGCCGTGGGCTTCCACAGTGTGTCCCTGTGATACATTGTGTTGGAGTACGAGTAAAAAGATATATTTATTCAGAAATTTTGTACCATTAAGAACTTTGACAAACAGTCTTGTAGATGTTGTTGGATCTGAATTTTCATATTTTGGGATTCCCCTTTGGACCTGAATCAGGAATGTTGATGAGCACTGAACACTGAATGCTTTCTCCAAAACATACTCTGGTTTTCAAAGATCATATTGATTTTCATCGTTTTCACTTAAGGACACTAGGTATTCGTGATTTCAAACATGTATTTAAAAATGTACCTCCAAGCAAAAGCATATATTTGGAAACAGTCAGCATTTGGTTAACCTGATGCTAATGCAGCTATTTGAGGGTTCCTGATTTTTATCTTTCTGTTCCTGCTTCTTGATCTTTGGCTTGAACTGCTTCATTATTCAAGGCAGACAAGTGGAGCTTGTGAAAGGGGAAGAACTTTATAAAATGTAATGTGCTTTATAGGTGGGAGGGTTAAGTGTCTGCCTGCCATCTTCACCTTTCTCAACGCTAACATTTTAAAGAAGTTGAATTAGAAACTATCTCAGCATATAAAATTAATTACTTTATTACTTGAGATGACTTGGTATAAAAACATTGGTTTTTCATTTTGTCATTGTGCATTCCCATTTTTGAATGGATGAAATTGTTTTTCTTGGTTTGAGCAAGTACAAAGGGAAAACTGAATAACAGCAAATTTATAAGCATATAAGCTTTCATAGGATTAAAGAGAACTCTCATTTAAATTTAAGCTCGCATGTTAATCATTGAGAAATCATCACAAATCATTGAACTCTCATTTCAAAAGGGAATTTAATTTAATCGTTTTTACAGTTGCCTGTAATCATTTAGACACGTGTGGAAAGAAAATTCATCTGCAGAGTCTAGGTTTTTATTTCTCTCACTGGTCTTTACTCTCTTACCTTAAAAGCATTCCTTTCCTTAAAAAGATCAGTTACATGGGCCGGCCCCGTGGCTTAGCGGTTAAGTGCACGTGCTCCGCTGCTGGCGGCCCAGGTTCGGATCCCGGGTGTACACCGACGCACCGCTTCTCCGGCATGCCGAGGCCGCGTCCCACATACAGCAACTAGAAGGATGTGCAGCTATGACATACAACTATCTACTGGGGCTTTGGGGGAAAAAACAAATAAATAAAATTTTTAAAAAATTGAAAAAATATCAGTTACAAATTTCTATACTTTCCATAATTCTGTTTTCTCAGATTCAATATTTTAAAATACATTCAAAGCTAAAACTTCGGTTTACTGGAAAATCTTTTTTTCTTTTTTTTTTAAAAATAATTTCCTGAATGTCAAGTTTCTTTTTTGCTTCACTCTGGAGAACTCTTAACAAAAGAGCATTGATAATGCTTTCAGGCAGTGAATTTAAAGACTTGCCGAATTTCCGTACTTGTTTCTTCTCCTTGAGTACCCCTCCTCATATGCTTCCAATTTGAGGAGGGAAAAAAAAAAGTTTGTGGCCTAATTACCCGGGTCAATTTTGTGGTGGTTTTTCTACAACTGCTGCAACCAGGAGACTATTTTGTTCTTTCTAGGGCCAGAATGGACAGAGGATTAAAGTTATGATTCATTGCCCCTCTTTGCAAAGGAAAGAGAGAAGCCGGATTCCTTGTTATGTTTTTTCTTACTCCCTTTTTCTGCTCTGTTTCTTTTGACCTTTTCTGGGCTGGAGTTATCATTTCCTCTTCCATTTTCTTGTTGTGAAACTGTCTGGTTTTCGTTTTCCTAAACTAAGATGGTAATTGTGTTCCAAAGGGGCACTAAAAGGAATAGTCGTTATGAAAAGCATTGCTTATTTTGTTTACCTGTAAGTAATAAAGGTAAATATTTATTTACCCCTCCTGCCGTGTCTTCCAGGAACCTAGCCCTCTAGTTTTGCTTTAAAAAGTCTTCCTTTTAAGTGGCAAAGAATTGCTGAAGATCCAGAGTCCAGTTGAAATTTGCCAACCTAACTTTAATGAGTAAAGTTAACCATCTCAGAGACAGGTTAATATTACTAGAGGTTACAGCAAGGAGATGGTCCTCATATATAATCTCTCTAAGTCTTACCTCTGTTTTAGAAACAAACTATGAAGTGAAAGGGATCTTACTTTCCCTTTTCCTTTGACTTTCTTGATTCCATGCTGTCCTCCAGATATATACCCTGTCTCTCCTCCATCTCCTGCTGCTCCAAGAGCCTTCATCAAGGCAGCCTCCAGGACAAGTGTGGCCTGAGGCAAATGACTTTTCCTGCGGGGGGGGGGGGGGAGCTGAGTTTGAGCAGTGAATTACTCAGGGCGATTTAAAAAATAGACTCCCTGAGTTTCTCTTACACAGCTGCCTATCACGAACCTGAGTTTGGAACCTGCGAAGTTTGATGCTCTTCTGCGTCCTAGCATTTCAGTCCCATGACTTCCTTCTTTAATACAAAGCCATTCACTAAGGTATGAAAGAAGAAAAGTCCCTTACAAGCCCAGAACGAGTTGAATTCAGAGAAGAGATACTGGTTGCTAAGTGCATCTTTGTTGGTGGCATTTGAAGCAGTGTAGCTGAGTAAAGTGAAAACTCTTGGGCAGTATGGCCGAGAGGAGAATGGTGTTGATTCTTACTCCAGGTCACTGTTGTCAGCCCCTCTTCTTTATATAGCTCCTTTATACAGCTCCTGCCCTTCCTCCACTTTGGAACTCCTTGTGTATTTGAAAGCACCATATCTCACCCCTTACCAGGTCCCACAACCAACGAGGTGAGGCCCCATTCTCAAATGAACCCTCTGTAGCCTCTCACACAGAGATCTCAGTGGGTTGTCCCCTGTCACCCTGCACGTCTGGCTTTGCTCAGCCTCTCTGCTCTATGGAATATATTTGACTTCGCAGCTGCCAATGTCGGTTGGAATGCTTGAAATTACTGAGTGTTTACTATGCCACTGGGTGGGGATTTTAAGCTAAATATAATGTTCTGTCTTGTTTGTGGAGCTACAGAAGACTTTTTAAAAGCAGAACAATAAATCCTCATCAAATCAGGATTACAGGGTCTGTTGCAAAATTCTGAATTAGATAGCACTTGTTTTTTAAAGTGGAGTTAAAAGATCATGAACATATTTCTTGTAACTAGTTCTGAGATTATGCCAGCCCAGATGCATTGAATAGATAAGAATATTTTATAATTAGCGTATTATTCGTGTTAGCAAATACTGCTTGAAAACATTTTGAAAGTAAAACATAAACATGTCCTGTGTAATGTGGCTTATGTGATTGTTTTGCTATAAGAAATCCTTTTTAAACAATAGATATTGTAAATGTCAAGTGTTTCCGGCTCTTATCGGAACTAAGAACAATTTTAAATTATTGGACTCCCAATGAAAGATTCTCTCCCCACTTTGGTAAAATATTATATATATATTATATATTCCTAATGTAAAACTTGCTTTTTATTATGCTAAATGATATTTTTCCTGATAAGCAGAAATTGTTTAATGTTTAGCCAATTAATCTTGTTGCTTTCTGAGTTTTTTTCTTTCTTTTTTTTTTTTTTTTTTTTTTTTTTTTTTCTATTCTTTTAGAGCTAGTAGATCTTCCCCTGGTAAAGTTTGACTTTTCCTGCAATAAAGTGCTCGTGATTCCCATTTGTTTTAGAGAGATGAAGCAGCTGCAAGTATTACTGCTTGAGAATAACCCTCTGCAGTCTCCTCCAGCACAGGTGAGGGGTCTCGCAGCAGAGCCGTTGGCCCACGGGATGTGCTATCAATAGCGCTCAGGCAGCTCTTGGCAGAGCTGGTGTTTTAATATTCTGCTGAATTAATATTGTGTTAGACATGATCATAAGCAGTCACGATCTCTAAAAAGATGAAACCTTGGGTGAATCTGACTACAGTAAATTGTCTTCTGCTACATCAAGTTCATTACCAGCATTTGGCTTACTATTCTGATCACCGCAACCCCAGAATTGTATGTTTGATTGTTCGATCCTTTGTACGTACATTTGAAAAATTTTCACGGAGTGTATGGCTTAGGAACGGAGTGCTGTATTCCTTACTTTAATGTTAGCTGGAAAAGGGAGTTTAAACATTTTGAAATGTGATTATTGGTTATTTAGAGACAAGAGTCAAACTCAAATATTAAACTATGGGAGAAAAAATGAAGTCTGTATGCTTTCAGAATTGGAACGTTACCAGGTCAGCTTTCTCACTTCTATACTCTTTACACTATTTATGTTTAAACACATTTCTGTTAGAATTTTGCAAGAAAAACTAGAAAATTGCTCAAGCATGGTTTTTTTTTTTTTTGGTTATTTGTGTGTTTGTGTGTGAGGAAGATTAGCCCTGAGCTAACTTCTGTTGCCAATCCTCCTCTTTTTGCTGAGGAAGATCGACCCTGGGCTAACATCTGTGCCCATCTTCCTCTACTTTATATGGGACGCCGCCACAGCATGGCTTGACAAGTGGTGCATTGGTCCACGCCTGGGATCCAAACCTGCGAACCCTGGGCCGCGGAAGTGGAGCACACGCAGTTAACTGCTACGCACTTAGCTGCTACCAGGCGGGCCCGGAGCATGGTTTTTTAATTCAAAGTAGAATTGGAGGAAATGATTGCCTAAATTCTTATGTGTTAAGGTCAAATTTGGTGGGCATTGTTAGAGTGTCACTTAAAATGAAACGCAAAAATTAAAATATACAGAGTCAGATTTTAGTGTTTACATTTTATTTTGTCATTTAATTTATTTATTAATAAATAGGTATTATTAATTTCTTCATAGATTTGCACCAAGGGCAAAGTGCACATATTCAAGTATCTGAGCATACAAGCATGCCAGATTAAGACAACTGACTCCCTTTACCTCCACACGATGGAGAGGCCACATTTACAGCAGCACGTGGAAGACGGGTGAGTGTGACCGCTGTCACTCAAAGTCCCTGTTCAGAATTTGGTTAGGCCAAGGTGCTCCAGGGAACTGACTCCAAAAATTCCTTTGCTTCACTCAACCAATGCAGATTTATAACTCAAGAGTTGCAACAAATATTGGAATGAGGAAGAGAAAACTGATGCTGTTGGTAACATGTTGGCATCTCTCGAATCTCATCTACCTTCTCCTAATCAATAATCAATCCTTTCTGAGTGCTATCTGTGTGTCTGTGTCTGTGCACACACACACGTATATATGTACATACATAGATACACATATGTGTATATATATCCTTAGAAATAAGAAATATACTATAAATGTAGGTATTTTTACTTAGTTAAAACAGCCATACAAGCTCAGACATGCTTTCTTTTTAATTATTAATTTTTAATATGCTTCCAGAACATTGTTAAGAAAAACTGCAGGCTTTAGTCTTTTCATTGTCTTTTAAAAATGCAGTGTCCGTAGTTTTTGCCATTTCCTGTTTAGAACGGAAACATAGAATCCTTTAACACGTCCTTGGCTTTTTTGTGGCATAAATCAGGCCTTGAATTTTCAGAAAATAAAATTCCCACACTGAACACACTTGGAGAAATGCAGGTCATTTTGGAGAAGTCTTCGCTGCAGAAATCTTTCCTCAACTTTTTACTGAAAAAGTAAATGTGGTGACTTAAAATCTCAGCCTACGCTAATGGTACCTTTATAGAATGCTGAAAATATGTATTCGTTGTTTTATTTTTATAAACATACTATGAAATTTGTTTAGTCACTGGATAAAAGTTTACAGAATTATTGAAAGTAATCTTGTAAGAGGTAAAAAGCCCTTTGTAACATAAGAGGTAAAAGTAATTAGGTAGTTTTTGCTTTTTTATATGCTAGAATCCATAAAATAAGAAAATTATTAACTGTTTGAAAGAACAGGCCGCTTGACTAGAGTGTAAATTCATGAAACCCTAAACACAAAGAATTCATCTGGTGCAATATTTAGACAGTACAAGTATCTGATTTCCATTAGACTCTTGTCTTAATATCCTTTAATACTGGGTGGATTTGTTGCCTATGGTAATAATAAAAATTTGTATAGCAGAGTCATTATTTGAATATAAATTGATGTACCTTGTGAACTTTGTGATTTTAATTTTTTCTGAATGAATTCAATATTGATGGCATCTATCCCAGCAAGAAGGATTCTGATTCGGGCGTTGGAAGTGATAATGGAGACAAGCGATTGTCTGCCACAGAGGTAAAGTTAGTGATCAGATTTTTTTCCTTCAGTGCTTCTAGATATATTGTTGAACTCCTTTCTAGTAAAGGGCATTAATGCATCTGCATGAGAATATGTGATAATATTTGTGAAAGCAATTTGAAATCCTCCAAGTGTTATATAAATATTAGCTGTTAGCTTTTTCTGCATCTTTAATATTTTATAAATGTCTCAAGAGTAAGATCCCTCTCTCCTTCACATCCTATCACACCCCTCGCGTTATCTAGAATATTCTTGAATGCTTAATAAATATTATGAAATGACTAAGTGGTGTGTAAGTACCCGTGAGGCATTTTTATAAATATGTTTAAGTGACAAAGTAATTTAGGAAAAAGTTGTTTTATGCATACCTAAATGTTAAGGAATCAAATGTACATTGCACTTCAGCAGTTTACCCACAGGAAATGCATTTTTGAGTTGCCATAATTTTTATAGCAATATTTGTTTTCCTGAAACTCTTAGATTGTGTTCTTTTCAGGTAACTGGATAAAAGTTTGGTTATTTTTAAGCTGAGTCCTCTCACACTAGAGTTTCCTGAAGTGGTTATAAATAACTCATTTAGCACATTTGTTATTTATAGTCTCTTAGATTCCCCCAAATCTTTCACTAAAATACCATTAAATGGGGTTTCTTGACCAGGGGAGGTAGAAGGAATGGCTGGGGTAGCGGGTGAATGTATTATCAGGTCTTCCCTTTGGAGAAAATTTATTGAGTTTTTGTGGTCATTGCGTTTTGAAATATTATAATACTCTTTCAAGATGTAATTAATAGGTCAGTTACCCCATTTCATGAATCCACAGTTGTGCTATGTGTGACTCCAGGAAAAATGCCTTTTCCCTGTTCAGGTCTTTGAGGTTTAATATGTAGTTAAGATATTGAATTTATTTTCTAGAAAATGCTTTATAAAGCAATGTGTTAAAAAAAATCAGGACACCTTAAATCTTCCTAATACAGAACATTTCAAAAGGAAGTAGAGTTAGTAGGCAGAAAAAGAGAGCCAGTATCAATAACAGAAAATTACCCTCATGAAGCTGCATGAATAGTTTACTATGGTTCCCTGGTGGAGAAAACACTCAACACATTGCTTTATAAGTTGTATTTAATTCAACCCCCTTAGCTTTATTAAAACTCATAAGTCCCCTGAAATGTCCCATTGTTTCAGAAATTACTCACCCTCAGCTTATTTTCTATTAAATTAAAACAGACTCTGCTTTATCCTTTATCTGTCTTCTAAGGATAATTAAGTTCATTAATAAAACATTACACAAAGAACTTCATTATCCTTTTGTTCTCACTTGGTATAAGTAGGATGCTAATAGCATTCTGAAAGGAGGCCAAGGGTTTCCTCACTCCTTTTTAACTAGATGCAGATCTGTGGCATTTGGCTAAGTTTTAAGATGGGAGGAGGTTAGAAGGAAGAAGGACTGCGGAATGGGTTATATTCAACACAATAAACTGCACAAGTCTTCCCTTTGGCCTTTTTTGTCTGGCTTCGTAGCCTTATTACCTAAGAACACCTCCAAGAAATTAGTTTTTTAGAATGATAATGGTTCTGAATGATCCTATGTAGCTTTCTGTTTTCTTTTTGCTGGGCAAATACGTTACCATCTGTGGTCACTTGATCTTGCTCCCCACTTACAGCTTATTGTGGGGTTCAAAAATCACACCTCGGTCCCTTTCTCTGGCTGTTGCCATTGTCTGATTGACTTAACATTTGTCACTAAGATATTAAAGACAAACAAGCAAAAAAAATTGGGGGCTCAATGAATATCTGTTTAATGAATGAAATGCATATTTGTTTTCTGCCAGTTTCTAAACAATTTGTGCGCATGTCCCAAAGTAAATGAACACTGTACTCTGAAAGTCATAGCCTGTGGAATTCAGGAGCAGGCCGCAGTCGCCTGAGCTGTGTTCTGTGGAAGTTGCCAATTCCTGTGATTAGGAAAGCTTTTCACTAAATAGCAACACTAAAATGGAGATACAGGAAAATAAATGAGGCTCATATTTCATTTGTGACAGTCGTAGATTTTCTGACTAAACTTTATCAGATAGTGTGGGAAACAAGACCCCCAGAAAGAACTAACTCCGCTTGCTAAATTGAAGTATTATTCTGAAAATTGCACAGAACCCATGTTCCTCTTAAGTACTACCATCGTTTAGCACTGTTATATATTTAATGCAGCTTCCTCAGCCTAAAACAGGGAAATAGACTGAAGCTTAATGTTGCACATAAGTTGCACTGTAAATAAATGAGACATTGTCGCAGAGGTTGACTGCTTGCTTTTTGGTGACAAGCTGCATGAAACCTTGATGCAGTTTTGGTAAATTACCATTGTTGTCAGATCTCAGAGTACCATCACTATTAAAATGATTGACTAGACTTAGGGCTAGTGTGATAGTGTTCTTACCAGTATTCCTTTGTTCTGTCAGATGTTACACAGTCCTTCTTAGTGCCCTGACTACGGCTCTTAGGTTAGAAAATATCATTAGGCATCTGACAAAATTTCAGCTCAAACATATGTACAGAAAAGTACATGAGTGTTAGCTCGATGAATTTTGACAAAGTGAACACACCCATGTTACCAGCTCCCAGATCAAGAAACAGAACTTTACCAGCACCCCGGAAAGCCCTACTCATGCGCCTACTCTCTAACCCAAGAGCAGCCGCTACCCTGACTTCAAACACCGTGGATTAGTTTTGCCCGTTTTTGAACTTATGTAGGTGGAATTGTCCTTTGTATCTGGCATCTTTTACTCAACATGTTTTGAAAATCACAGAATTTTTTTTACATAGCATTCTCTTAATCTACACTGATAACACTTCTCCCTTGAATGAATCCGTGCACTGTTTCTTTTCAGCCTTCTGATGAAGACACTGTTAGTCTCAACGTGCCAATGTCAAACATCATGGAAGAAGAACAGATCATCAAGGAGGACCCGTGCCATCGCCTCAGCCCAGTTAAAGGTCTGAGAATGAAAGATGGGGAGAAAGTGCTTGTTGTTAAGTTTCAAATGCTATGTTTAAAATATATGCAAATATAGCAATGATAATAGTTAATGTTTTTGAGCATTTCCTGTGCACCACACACTGTGCTAATCTGTGAAGCTGATCTCATTTAAAGTTCAAAACTGTGATGGATAATCTGATCATCTCCCTTTTATAGGTGAGGAAACTGAGGCTCAGAGAGTTTAAGTAACTTGCCAGTAGTCACACATCTAGTAAGTAGTAGGCTGTTCTCATTCTGAAGATTTATACGAGATTCTTTAAATCCATTCCCAGAAAGAAAAATATTGATATGTAGACGTATTAGGACAACACTACTTGCTGTTAACACATAAAATCCCCAAATCTCGTTGGCTTAACACAGTCCAAATTAAGTCCAAATGGGAGTCAGTGATTAACAGGCAATTCCCTTCCAAGCTTTGATTCAACGACCCAAGTTCCTTTTATCCCGTGACTCCATCGTCTTTAATACAAGACTTCCAAAGTTTCCAAGTCCATCCGTTTCAAGCCAGAAGAGGAAGAGCGTGGAGTTTTTGCTCATAAGAGGTATTATGGACTGGGCCTAGGAGTGCCCATCACTTCCAAGCTAGACTTGGTTCCTTGGCCACAAGAAACTATAAGCAAGGGCGTGACATGCAGTTGAGATGTGTGCCCAGGAATCTGCTTGACTTTGGACAAGTCAATGGACCTTAATCCTCTCACCTGTAAATGAGGTCATTAGATTAGGTAACCTCTGAGTTCTTCTGTAGCTCTAAAATGCTTTGGTTCTTTAAAAATCACCAAATGATAACTGAGCATTATATTTCTTGCATACCTTCAAAATCCTAGTAATATATTTCATATGTTGGCGATAAGTGAGAAGCCTACACTTGATTTTTATGACAGTATTTTTGACTCTATTTATTCAGTGACTTTTAAAGAAAATACTAAATTTAATGTTTACTGATTTGTGGCAGCGACTATTTCATAGTGTGTGAATAGAACTAGATGAATTTTCAGATTCGCTCCCTAATAGTTTGAATCTGCTCGTTAGTGCTGGATGAGCCTGAAACCAACTCAAACTTCAGTGTTTGCTTTCACTTCTTACGTTTAAGTTTTTAAGTTCAGCAGTTAAGTTTAGCATTTAATGTTCATCTGAGATCGTGATTGGAAACACACGTTGTCCAAAAATATAAATATAAATATGCAAAAATAACTGCCACTTTATTAATTTAGATAAGTTTTGTAACATTGTGCAGTATAGGAGGTAGTGTTTTAGGCACGTTTTTAACATAAAAGAATTATATAACTTGTTACCAGTGAGTTTATTCCCCTCTGTTCTAGAAGTGGGTATTCTGCTGCCTAGGAGTCATTAAAGGTGGCCCTGTTTGGTCCTTTTCAGTGTCCAGATCAGAGGAGAGAGCTGCCTGGTGTCCCTTTTGGCTCTCCTACCCTCTGGAACACCCTCCAGCTGGATGCACTCTACTTGAGATGCTTCTCCCTCCATGTGGCCCTTATCTAGTCGCTTATGTTGTTGTTACAATTTACAGTTCTTATCTTAGTTCCTTCTCACGCTTTTTCTTGAGATTGTTTACTGCTTAAGGACAGGAGTCAGGTTTGACTAATGTTTTTTAATCCTTAAAATCTTTAGCATAATACCTGCCATTGAGTAATTGCTCAATAAATAATTATTGAATTTTGAATTTGAAATAATTACTTGTCACACTTTACTCAGAGCCCAAAAGCCCTTTTTTATCCTCTCTTTTCTCTGTTCCTTAAAAATGTCAGAGGAAATTTCATTTCTTTTATAAGGAACTAAGCCATAAACAGGCCTTGACTTTTAAGTTCAGTTTGGGGCTCTCCGTTTCTTTTACTTTTTTTCCTCTTCTTCCTCCTTTTTTCATCTTTTCCTCACTCCTCAGGGAAGAGAAAACTTGGGTCACTCATGTACCTCCTTAAGAGGTGAGAGAGAAGGCTTAAATAATTAGATGATGTATTTGAGGGTCCTCTGTGCTTTGCTCATCTGTGCATGAAATCGTGCTTTCTGCCTTTCTCTGTACTTTCCTAATAGGGGAATTTCATCAGGAATTTCAACCGGACCCTTCCCTTTTGGGTGACAATGACAACTCAGGAGAAGAAAGAGACCAATTTACTGATGGAACAGATGTTCTCCATCCGGAATTTATAAACTATATTAAGGCAAGTTGAGGATCAACTCATTTTTTTATTTTTTTCTGTTTGGCACCTTAGAATTTAAGTTCCAGGTTTCCAATCCATCACCTTAAATGTCAGCTTACTGCCACCGTCCTCAGGCCTTTATAACATCTTCTCAAAGCCTGGCCTATCTATTTTCTGACATAAGGAGCTGGTCCCTGCCATACATACCTCTCCATTTGTCTGCATATGTGTATGATTTTCTTTTGTATTCATAAATTACTCGGCTTTCCACTACTCGGCGCATCGTATAAATTAGCAAACTTATCAGAATTACCGTTACCATCCAGTAAAAGCTAAAACAGATAAAGTTTCACATGCTTTTCAGTATATTCTAGGTGAATGCTTTTCTTGGGAGTATATCCATAGCATAAAGGAAAAAATGGAGACACTTGAAAATCTGGAGATGAATGTCTTCCCTTTTTGGAAAGGTCACTCTGAGGACACTTAGTCCTGAACTGTTGTCTTTGCACTGAGGTGTTGAAAGGTTGGGTGAAGTCACTGAGTTGTCAGGAGAACCTTCATCATAGTAGCAGCAACAAGAAGAGAGAAAAACCAGCCCTTTACTAAAGCTGGTAGTTCAGGCTCCGCTTTGAGACGTGATTAGGTGCCTTGGTATGTTTCTGTCAGTCATTTTGGTTAAGTTGTGGCACCCAAGAATCACAAGGATAATCCTTTTGGTAAAATTCAGACTCATTGTGGCTTCTGAGAGATGAGGGTCTCTGAGTTACTGTTTTAAGGCCCAGCAGGGGGTCTCTAAGTGCTCATCCGTATTCCTGAGGATTGTGTTATGCTGGCTGGACTCTGTCTAAACTAACATCTCTGGGCATCACCTTCCAGGGAAGTGGGAGGAAGACAGCTGAATTTTACACTGTACGAGACCCTCATGTGCTCAAGAGGTTTTCATGCTCTCAAGACAAAAGTAATGAATATGACATTTGTTTGTAGAAAACCAACTGAAATGATTCCTAAAGTTATATAGAAAGATAAGACACAGAAAGCTTTAAGTCTTTATGCTCTCTATCTAATCCATCATTAATCCATTAGTTCTTGTTTCAAAATATCTCACAGCCATTGCTTTGTTTCTGCCCACTACCTCCATTGACATGGCTTCAGTTGAGCCTCATAATTTCCCATTTTGATGCCTGCAGGAATCCCTCCTACCCCAACTTCTCACCCAACATCTCGCCTTTTACACGCACACGCACACATATGTACACACACACTTTATATTTTGCTATAGACATTTTCCTAAAGTAAAAATTTAATAACATTACTCTGAGGCCAGTGGTTCTCACAAGGCTCTCCCAGATTTGACCCCTATCTATCAACTCTGGGATAAGTCTGTTGTGAAAATATGAAAAATTGGGCTTTTGTCTTTATTTCATGAAGAATTCATCTTAAGTTGAGAATCTAAGGTAAAGATGGAAACCCTGAAGGAAAACAATCAAAGCAATTAATAAAATAAAGCATGCTGTTTCAGAAAAGCAAACTTTAAGATTTCAGGAAGCAAAGGGCTCCATGGAAATAGCTGCTCTGCAGACTGGATCCTGTCAGCAGAATCTAGAGGAGCAGATAGGGGCATAGAAATGTATTCGGCAAGTGTTTCCTGAGTGCCAACTCTCACAAGAGGCTTCTCCTGGAGAGTCAAGAGAAGAACACTAATAATAAAACAAAATATAAATCTACAATGAAAGGTCGTGCATTGAAAATCAGGCCCATGTTAGCCTTGACTTACATCACTTTAAAAGCCTGCGAGAGCCCTGGCAGCCAGCAACTGAGCCGAACCACTGAGTCTCTTGACAATCAGGAGTTCTGTGTTTTGTATAATCCTGTTTCTCTCCTTTCCTGAATTCGCATCTTGTACTTTTGTAACTATAATCGATCCTCATTATTCGCAGCAGCTCTGTTCTATAAAGTCACTTTGAACACTGAATTATTTGATACTGAACAATCGCTCCTAAGGGAAGTACAGGGTTAGGTTCCTGTGAGCCTCTGGTCACAACATTTTTGTCAACTGGTCAATACATAACCTTGTTTTACGTGTGTTTCTATTTAAAGACACCTTATTTAATACATATAGTTGATTTATTAACGTTGAACTATGACCAACAGCATTGTAACTCAGGCATGAAGGAAGCTTATCTAACGCACGTGTTTTCTCCATAAGGCACGTCACAGCCTTCTTGCACTTAGGAACACTAGACAGCACTTCAGCACCATGCTTGGGAGTATTTTAAACAGCGAAATCACCCAAAAAAGCACAAAAATATGAAAATGTGGCACTCTGAAATCGACTCTGATAAGGGCACTTGCTTACAGTATGAGAGCTGAAACAAGAAGGCAGAGCCTTGCCTTGTTCAGTCTCAGCTGAGAACGTGCATGTCGGGGACTCAAATTTTTCACCATTCTATGCATGTCTGAGAATGACTAGAAGTGCTACGAGTGTTGATTTTGGGATTACAATTAAATTTCAGTGAATAGGCAAATTCATAAGTACAGACTCCACAAATAATGAGGATCAACTGTATAACCATCTAACTTAGCAAAAGAAACCCAGTAAGCCCTATTTTCATACTGAAAAAAAAAAACAAATGTTTTATAGTATTAACTACTTTTTATTATGAAACTGAAAATTAGAAGGAAATACTCCTGGATTCTGTAGTTGAAGCCCAACAGGAAGACGTAAGAACATGTTTTCTTGGTCATTTCTGGTAGTTTATTTTCACCCATGAGTTTCCCTGTCATTTGGATAGTGGCACAGTAACTTATACGTTGGTGTGTCACACACTAAAAGTATAATCAATGTAGAAAAATCTGAGTATTTTTCAAGCCAGAGGCTGGTGTCAGGCAGCTAGCCACCTCCTCAGAAGAAGACTCGTTCTCAGTGACACATCTGTAGAATTGGCTGGGCCAGAGTAAGTGAACAACATGTCAGAACTTTGACACAGAAAGCAGTCCTTTTGTCTGTTGGTTGTTCCTTGCCAGGGGAACGTGCCCCCATTCAGGAGTGGCTTCCATTCTAGCTGTCAGCTGAGTTAAAGCAGCATTTGTCTGTGTCAGAGATGAGAGGAAAGAAGCATGTGGAAGTTCCAGCGGTGGGACACACCTTTCTAAGTACTCCCACCACAATGTTTCTTTGGGAGAATAATAGGGGAGGGGCATTTCAGTGAAATCTGGATGTTGTACACATGAAATCTATTAGATGCAATTTGAGACATTTTCATTGTTGTTATACTTTCAGAAAGTGTATTGTGTTTTATAGTTTCTTTTTTCCCAACAACACACACATACACACACACATGCTCCTCATCTCACAAATGCTAGAATGCACATTCTCCTGTGACTGACAAGCCTGGTGGAGGAATCTGTCAGCATCAGGAGGTGCTAAGAGGGCCATAAGGAATTGGGTTAAGCTGTAAATTTCTGAACTCTAAGTTAACAGGTATTGTGGCACTGGGCCAGGTTTTGTTTTTTTTTTAATTGTGGTAAAATACATATAACATAAAACTTACCATCTCAGCTATTTTTTAAGTATACAATTCAGTGGTATTGAATACATTCACATTGTTGTGCAACCATCACCACCATCCATCTCTAGTCAAACTGAAACTCTGTCCCCGTTAAACAGTAACTCCTCATTCCCCCCTCCCCTTGTCCCTGGCAACCACTGTTCTACTTTCTGTTTCTATGAATTTGACTACTCTAGGAACCTCATATAAGTGGAGTCATACAGTATTTGTCTTTTTGTGACTACCTTATTTCACTTAGCATAATGTCCTTAAGATTCACCCATGTTGTAGCATGTGTCAGAATTTCCTTCCCTTTTAAGGCTGAATAATATTCCATTGTATGTATATACCACATTTGTTTATCCATTCATGTGTTGATGGACACTTGGGTTGTTTCCACCTTTTGACTGTTGTGAATAATGCTGCACTGAACATGGGCTGGGGCGGCTTTTGACTGTTGACTGTTGATAGCCAGTGGCTCTCAGAAGACCCGTGTGTTCTGTCCACAGGGTAGGGCAGAAGACTGTGAAGAACTGTTACGGATAGAAGAGGACGCGCACTGGCCACCTGAGGGAATGTGAGTACTGAGCGTCTGGTTATGAGCCACCATCCTGTAAAGTTGACGTTTCAAGCAGAATGGCTGCCCTGTTGTGATAGAATTCTGATCCACTTTTCTTCGGGAAAGCTGATATTCCTACCCAACGGTATTGATAAGAAGTTATAAATTTTCTTCTGTCTGATGGTTATTGTCACAGTATTGGGGCAATATAAGGCAAGGCATACCTCTTCCTTGAGTTTTATCTGATTTGAGGGTGTGGGTAGAAATGTGATTCAGAGAATTAGATAGAATATCTAGGCTGGAGATTCTAGCTTTCTTCCATTTGTCTGAAGAAGCTGACAGTGGAACCTAAAGCGATATTAGTCCTGGTCCCCCTTCTTTACCTAGAGTCTTCAGGTTTAAGATCTGAGAAAACTGTATATCTCTAATGTTCTGGTCCTAAGTCTAATAATTTTAATAGCCAACATTTATGCTACATGACAGGCGCTGTTCTAAATACTTCACATATAGTAACTCATTTCATGTTTACAACAATCTGATGAGGTAAATTGTTTTGTTATCCCCTGTTTCACAGATGACAAAACTGAGGCACAGAGAGATTGGTTATCTTGCCCCAAGGACTGAACCCAAGAATCTCACTCTAGATAGATATCGCTTCCACACTATCGTCTATAAAGATTTACTTTGCCAGCCTAATGGGGGAGGGTCTGAGTGATCTATCAGCCGATGGAACCATTTGCAGGAGAATTGACTTTGGACCATGTGGCATAGAGTAGATTTTTGGTTCCTAGGATTTTGTTTTCCATGATCTGGCCTGCAAGCCTGGGCCTTCCATCATTCCTTCTGGGGTTTTTCCCTTTAGTGAGGATTTACCGTATTGTTAAAAAGTTTCTCCACTTCCAGAAATACACTGGCTTATGTTCTGCAGTGGATAGGAGTAATCATGATCAAATCTCTCTTGCCCTTTAAAAACATTGCAAAGTTCCTTTCAAATTGTTGTCCAGTATTACCAACTATTCACTGGATATATGTCTGTGATGCAAGGGAGGACTAGCTTGATTATAGACTCATAGAATAATAGGGAAGGAGATTTTATAGGGAAAGAGTTTAAACTATATAAAGCTTTGGAAACCTCGTTCTCAATCTTATATCTGTTGTTCTCAACCCTGCCTATAGATCAGGATCATCTGTAGAGCTTAATAAAATGTCCACGCCCCAGTCAGATCTACTTGGGAATATCAGGCCTGGCTACAGATGATTTTGCTGCATAAAAAGCCTGAACTGAGAACCACTGTCCCCCACTGAAGTCCCATACTGTGAAAGCAATAAAACTGAGCCATTCTGATTGAACTGGGTTTGGAAGGTCTGGAAGTAGTGCAGACTCGCCCTAGCTGAGCATCCCTGTGGATCCCCCCTAGGCTCAGGAAAGCGCAGTGTGAAAGCCACCCAGCTAGTCTCTTGCCCTGATTTTACAGATAAACAGATGGAAACCCATAGGCATTGTGACGTGTGAGCTGGGCTTCCCCCACCCATTGGCTCTTTCCACTACGCTCTGGCAACCTACTCTATGGGGTACTGACATGTCTTCATTATAATGCTGAATTTGTCCAAGTCATTTTTATATGTTAGATGGATTTTTATAAGTTTACTCTTAAGAACCTAGATGATATTCATGCTCTAGTGATCATTTTCATTCTCATGTTTGGTTTCTTGCTGCAGAATAAGTTCATCCAAAGACCAGGACATGGATATAGCGATGATTGAACAGCTGAGAGAAGCTGTAGATTTGCTGCAAGATCCCAACAGGTATGCATGTCTTCTCTTGGCTCAGGTTTCATGTGTAAATAACGTACACCAAGTTATTGAGTACATTATCTCACTTTAAAAAATACTTAGACACGCAGTTTTGGCTCAGTCTAACCACTAACAAACAGAGAAAAGTCATTTTAAATGCCTCTTTTCCCAAGTTCCATAAATAAGAGTCAAACTTCCGGAATGGTTGAGATCAATTCCCCCTTTCTCTGCTCTTTAATGAAATTCATTCACACTTCATGAAATTCATATGAGAATTCTTGGTATAATTCTTAGAAAACAGAAATACAGCAAAAGCGCATATTTTATATTGCTTCAAGTTTACAACTCTGTTTTATAGAAATATAAAGGATATTTTCCAAAAAGGAAAGAATTGGTATATCAAGCACTACCTTACTTATTTCTGATAGTGCCAAGTATATGTTAACTAAATAATATATTTCTAAAGACTTAGGTTACAAGATAATTTTTTAATTTAACTGGCCATTGTTAATAATAGGCAGTATATGCAGTGGTTATATTTTTTGGTTTCTTAGCTAAGGGTAATGGATTTCCCATAGACAAAATATTTTTCAGTAAGACAGTATACCTAGTATCAGGTAATAACTAGCTTATCACTAGAGAAATAGACCCAAAGCTTATCCCTGGTAAACTGTTCAGGGGTCTTGCGAATTTAAATATGAAGATGAAGATGACATGGAAATCACTCCAGATTCTGGGAATTGATGAAAAAGGTGGTTAGTGAGTCCCAGAGTGCCAGTGAGAGTAGACCACCAATGTTATCTGGCTCTGAAAGAATAATGATGGGTCAGGTTGAGTATGGCTGAAAATCCTTAGCAATTGATTTGAAAAGCATTTCGATTAGACATTAGTTGAGTGCTTAGAGCATGGGAGGATCTAGAATGTGTGCCTTGGGAGATATAAAGATGAACAAGATACAGCTCTTGCCTTAAACTGTGGTAGGTAGATTGCCTTAGTAGTTATTTGTAAGTGTAATTGATTTCAGTGCTTGAAGTGGAGGTAAAAAGTGATAAATTAGAGCAAATGCCTGACCCTAGATGGAAAAGGGGAGATAGCGGGGCCAGCCTTCCTGAAGGTTGGGATATTTAATAATTGGCAGTTTTCAAGGAGAAAACAAATTCTGGATTGAATTAAAAGTTTCTGCAAAGACATGGATGTCAAAAAGAATGGAGCCAGCTTGGAAGATCGCAGGCACTGGCTGCTCTTTAGTGTCGCTTTTGGGACTTTCGAAACAGAGATACCCTGACACTACCTGTGGGGCTGGGGTTCTGGGCATTTCCATGAAACTACTGCCAGTGCTGCTGATGTGCAACCAGGACTGAGACTCACCAAGGGGCAGTTTGGAGTGCTGCAGGGGACGACTTCCAGTGCTGTGTGGAGGAGCTGAGACGTTATTTTATATCTAGAGGGAGGTGATGATGGTGTAAAATATGATTATTTGTGTTAATTCTCCTTAATGTTCCGCTCAGAGCTTGGCTTATTAGTAGGTCCCTAATCAAAGCATGTTCTTTAAAGAGCTGGGTTTCACACCCTCAAGCAGAGCAGTCAGTGAGAGGGTAGGAAACAGAGACAAGAGAGCTTGTGTGTGTGTTTGAGGGGGTGTGTATGTGTTTGTGTGCATGCACACGTGCACCCAAGGAATAGGGAAGTAGTGTGGCTGGTGAAGAGCAGACTTTGAGTCAGCCAGACGCTGGTTCTGAACCCAGCTCCAATGCCAGTTAATCTAGGTAAGTTATATGACTTCTCTGTACCCCAGTTTCTTCACCTATAAGATGGGTTACAAGTACTTACCTTTTAGGACTGTGAGGATTTGAAATAATATATAAAATCTTAGTGGGAAGGTAAATTGGCAAAACCATTCCAGAAGACGTCCTAGTAGTATGTAGCCATAGTCTAAAAAATGTATAAACTTTTCAAACAAATTCTAAAAATTTATCCTAAGGGATGAAGAGATATGAACAAAGATTGTGAGGGGGAAGGTGTTTTTAATAGCAAATATTTGGAAAAGAGGAAATGATCTAACAATTTGGAGATACTTAAATATGTTTTGGTCATTAATAAGATGGAATAATGTGGCCAATAAAATGTTTTTTAAAGTTTCCAATATATTTTAGAATGCTCATTATGTAATGTTAACTTTAAAAAGTATATAAAATGCATAAAATTTGATCCCAATTATATAATTAGGTTCCAATTGTGTAAGAAGTTTAGAAAAAATTAAAACTAGAAGGAAATATATTAAGAAGGATGTTTTTCTGTAGGTCTTTCTAAGTTACTATTTTTCTTTATACTTTTAAATATTTTAAATATTTAAAATTTTAAATATTGTAGATACTCAGTGGTAGATACTATTGTAGTTCTTTGGTGATCGTTTGAAGTGGGTGGTGAGAAGGATGGGAGGGAACGGTCAAGATGTTTTAGACGTGAGCCCCCAGTATCTCTATCTGAGATGGGGAACCAGGAGGGACAACAGGTTTGAGAAAGAGGATGTTGGGGTCAGTTTAGGACCTGCTGAGTAGAATCTAAGGTGGCAATGTGGCAGTGTCCATTCGGCTGCTAGACATTTAGTACTGGGGCTTCGAGACTTAGATTTGAAAGTCATTTTCACAAGGTGCTGCAGTAACAGAAGTTGTATAAGAGGATGAGGTTCCCAAGGGCAAGGAAGATTTGACGTGACAGAGAAAAGGCCCTCATTGGGCTCAAACTTTATATTTTTTTAATGCTTCTACCTTTTACATTTGTATCACTTTTCCAATAAAGTTTTCTCACAAATTCTTAATTGATTAACATATGAGCCCCGAAGCAAAACAGAACAGCCTAGTTTGGTGGAAATAGCAGTGGTGTGGGAATGTGAGACCGGTAGTAAGATCTGGTGACCTGGAGAGAGTGGCTCCCTGCTCTGGGCCTCAGTTTTGTCATCCTTCATGAGAAGTGGGATGAACTGAGGATCTTGACGTTCCTCTCCAGCTTGGAAATGTCTAAGGCAATGAGTTGCCAAGGGTGTTGAGCGAGTGGAAATGGTGGGTGTGTGCCAAATTGTGGAAGAAACAGCCCTGAGCACCCTCTAAGTGATAGTTGATTTGCATCTTTATGACGTGCTATTATAAAATTATATTATGTTGTAAAACTTTATATGGATTTCATTTCCTCCCTAAAATAATCCACTGCTTTGGCTGCTTTAGATCTTTGTTGTTCATCCTGAAGTAATTATAATATGACAGTTCTAACTTTATAATGTTTCCGTGAGCCAGTGTCACAGGTAGAGTCCTGTTTTCACTTGTGATAAGGAGGGAGCACATCAAAAGGTCATTTATTTCTAGCTGCTTGGGACTGAATATTAGTAATAAAAAGTTTACATACACATTGGGTTTTTCCTTTATCTCATATTTCTTAGATCCAGATTTTTTTGTTTTAGTTAAGCCACTGATTATAGGATTAAATTTCAGAGGTTTACCTTTCAACTTTAACATCAAAAAAACCTAGTTGCAGGTTGCTATCCTGTTTTGCCTTTATCTTGGTTTCTTCTCATAAGGATTTCTGCTTGTTGGTTTGATAGCATTTTCAGTAAGCATGTATAGTACGAACTCATCCCTACCTTTTAAGATGGCTTTGTAACTTTTATATGACTTATAGAAATTCCTGGTTTTATAGATCTTAAAAAAAAAGTTGAACACTTAAAATTGCAGAAATTCAGAAACTATCTATAAGACAATTTCAAAAATAAACATGCACATCAGATTGCTTATGAATTCTTATTTTTTTAACTGAAGGTATTACTGTATATTAGAGAGATCTTCCTATTAAAACCAAATGCCCTTGGTACCTATACCATAATATAGTACCCTTGGCAACTTGCTTCTGTAAATTAATAAACTTCTAGAATATAATTTAGTGTGTGGTACTTATGAATACTATGACTTTATCAGAAATTACTGTTATATTTCACATAAGTTGGATTTCGATACCAATAGCAGATGGAAAATTATATTAAAATTATATTAAATTTGGCACATGGTGGGAAAATGCCATGTAGTTTGGAATTTCTACCATAAACCTTTTATAACTTAATCCTAATGATTAATATAACTTTTTAATATATTAAATTTTTAAACAAAATATGACTAAAAGCAGTAGGATTTATTAAAAGTTTAATAAATTTGCTAACATTTTTTTCCCTACTCTTTAGATTAAGCACAGATGTTACACAGAGAAGTGTTGTAAACTTTTATCCTGTGGAATCAGCAGAAGCCTTAGAATTACAAGATTCTGCACTAAAGTATGTTGACCTTTTTATAACTGAGTATATTTTCTCTTTTTACATTGAAATATTTATGCTTTAAATTCCACTTTATATCTTTTTTATTTCTTCATTTCTGCAGTGGTCAAATACAGCTGGAAGCATCTCCGGTGAGTGAGGTAAATCTTCTCTTGGATTAACCACAGAATAGGGCCCGCCATATTATATAAAGCTTAATCATGGGCATAGAACATTCATTAGTGAGACCAGTATTCCAATTTGTTCAAGATCTCTTTTTCAATCTTTTTTGTACTTTTATCCTCTTTAGTTTTCCTGCTTATCTAGCATACTTCACCTCCCATTAAAGATGAGAGTTGGCTATTTCCACTAAATTCTCTAAAATTTTTATGTCAGATAGTCTTGCTGAGTCAGGCGATGACAGCTAAGAGGCAGAGGGAACCTGCTCTGTCAGAAACTGGAGGCAGGACCGTTCAATGCAGATAATAGAGCCACAAAAGAAGCCTATGAACTGGCCAGATGAAAATAAACTAGAAAATACTTGAAAGATAAGAAGAAATGATTTGGGAAATGCCTGGGAGGTTTAAGAAAATCTAACGAAGAGAACCTGGTACGGTATTTGGGGACAGAGTAAAGATGGAGTTACACTGGGTGAAATTTGGGTGGCTGTCTAAAGCAGTTTTGACATAAAACTACAGATGAGCCTGGAAGGTCCCAAAGAAACAGTCATAGAGAGAGGGTTGAGCTGGTGACTTGGGAGTGAAACATGGATTTTATCCTATTTCATCCCTTCTTAGTAAATGGGCTTAGGATGGCTAATTTCAGTACCAACCAATTTATGCCCCCTAAGGTGTCTGAACATGTACTGTAGTAAAGCAGTTTCATACTCTTAACTAGTGAAGTTTCTGTGTTAAATAAGGGAAAAAGAACTGTAATCGAAAAAGTCATGTTCTCAGAGAGTGGTTCCATTGTTAAGTGCAGTGACTTGGAATTATGTTACGTTGCAGGCCCATCTCAAAGACTTGCTAACTATGGGCGACAATGGACAACCTCTCTAAACTTTACCTTCATTTTCCTTAAATTGGAATCCTTCTCCTAACCCAGGGAGCCTAAATGTTAGCTGTTACTGTTACTCTACTACTCTATGAATCATTATTGGTGTGGTCCTTAGACAGAATCTCTGTACCACCTCCTCCCTGGTGGAGGCATCATCGAATTCCCAACAGTGGAACATCAGGAAGCCTTTTATTTGAAGAATCCCCGGGCCCATTTCATCAAGCTCTCTTTTTGGAACATGCTGCTTTTGACTCTGGGCAGACTCACTTTTTTTATTGAGCTTCTTATTTGGAAAGAATTTTAAATTCATAAAAGGTTCAAAAAAATTACAAGATTCTATAAAAGGTGATGAAAAATTATAAGTTTTTACCCAGATTTACCTATTATTAACATTTTACCACATTTGCAACATCATTTGTTCTCTCTTTCTCTCTTTCTTTGCACACATATTTCTTTTTCTGAAAATTTGAGGGTGTTTCTTACATCGTAGTCCTTTATCCCTAAACAACATTTCTGTGTATCTTTTCTAAGAATAGGGATTTTATCTTACTTAACCACATTTCAGTTATCAACTTCATAAACGTAATTGCTAAAATATTTTCATCTAATTTACCATCTATATTCTATTTCGGTTGATCGAATGGTGTCCTTCATAGCATTGTTTTCCCCTCCGGTGGAGGATCCAGTCTAGCGGCAGATGTTGCATTTAGTTGTCAGGTATCTATAGTTTCCTTTATCCTGGAACATTTCCATAACCTTTATTTGGTTTTTATAACCTTGACATTTTGAAGAATATAGCCCTCATCTTTTTTTTAATGGAATGCCCCTTATTTTATAGGGCAAAATTCCCTCACGATTCGATTGAGGTTTTGCATTCTTGTTTGGGATACTGCACAGATGATGATGTGTCCTTCTCAGGGTATCACATTTAGGGACATGCTATGTCCATCTGGGCCTCATTGCTGATATTAATGTGACCACACAATCGAGGTGTAACCTGATTTCTCCACTGTATAATTACTGTTCTATTTTTTCCTTGCAACTAATAAGCAGTCAGTGAAGAGGTACTTTAAGACTGCTGCAGGGCCGGCCCCGTGGCTTAGCGGTTAAGTGCGCGTGCTCCGCTGCTGGCGGCCAGCTTTCGGGTCCCAGGCGCGCACCAAGGCACCGCTTCTCCCACCATGCTGAGGCCGTGTCCCATGTACAGCAACTAGAAGGATGTGAAGCTATGACATACAACTATCTACTGGGACTTTGGGGGAAAATAAATAAATAAATAAATAAATAAAATTATAAATTTCAAGTTTCCCTTTAAAAAAAAAAGACTGCTGCAGACCCACTTTTGACTCTAGTAAAATAGGTGACCACCTGTGTGCATAATTTCAGGAGTACAAGGAAAACACAAAACTTCCAGAAAAAAGATATCTCCGCTCCATCTCTGATGTACCGTTGGAGGGTCATTCCAATAGTTTTGTCTCCTGTTAAAATACCAAATATTCCTGACTTTTAAAAAAAAGAAGAGGCCTTGCTATATGCCAGATTGTGTGTTTGTATTTTATATGTGTTATCATTATTTCATTCATTAAACAAATATCCACTGAGTGCCTACTATGTGTCAGCACCATTCTGGACGCTAGGGAAGTGGCACTGACCAAAACAACAGTCCTTCCTCTTGGAGTTTACATTCCAGATAAGATGTTAGTGAAAGGTAGGTGTTATCATGCCGGATTTACAGGTGCAGGACATGAAGCTCAAGAAGGTTAGGTGACTGGTCAGGTCACTTGCATGGTAAATAGCCAGCTTTTCTGCTGTAACATATTACTTCTCCATGCTGTAGACTAGAGGTGACACATTAAGTCTTGTCGTTCTTACAAACCTTAGTGGGACCTGAATACACCAAATCTTTTCTTAAGAACAGGTCTTGGCAAAGGCAGAGAGGGTGTAACCCTTGTGTGTGCTTGAAAAGTGCTTCCAGGAATGTGGATGGGGTATGGAAAGAACAGGGATGGGTATATTCTAAATGTAGACTGATCCCAGTTCACAGTTTTGTCTTGGTCTAGTTGTAATCCTCTCTTTTAATCCAAGTAGCTATACATTGGGTGGTGTTTGTTGTTGATGCAGTGATGTACTAGCCAATTCCAATGGCTGTTAAGAATTGCTACTGACATTAAGAATTTCATTAATTAAGCAATAAGCATGCTTTTGGAAGGAATGTGCAAAATCTCTCTTTTTTTTTTTTCAATCCAATACTGTTTTAATGTGGAACTTCCTCTCATTTTCCCATCAGCAAAGCTGAACTATATCTCTGCAATCAATTCTAGATTTTGGAAGTGGATTTTTTATTCTATTTGTAGATCTCTTTTTTTCTCCTATTGTTTGTCTTTCTCCCACTGCACAGCACAAACACTTTAGCGTTTTCACTCTAAGTGGGACCTAACCCAGAACCTAGTACACAGTGAGCCTTTAGTGAGGGTTTGTGGAAGGGAGGAAGGAAGAAGAAGAAAGAAAAAAATGAGATGATAAAGAGTAGGCTTTGGTAAGGCGAATTTCAGTGTCCTACTTCTTCAATGTAGAGACTCCTGGGTCTTAACTGATAGCTGAAACACTCCATCGTTTAGGCAAAATGTATATTATGTTCTTCTAAATGCAGTTTCTTATGCTCGTCTAGGTTGAAACTCATCTGACACTTTTTCACGTGCTCATAGAGCTTCACAGGACTTTCCTGTACTCTTACCACACTTGCAATCATCATATTATGTGGAAAAACCCAGTGTCATCCTAAAGTAGGAAGTTTGAGTTTCGTGTAATGTATTGATCATTTGATCAGTCCGGTTGCCTCAGCCTCTTATGATGAGGCTATCTATTCCATCAGTCAGCCAGACAGTCAACCAGTGAGTGCTGAGCTACAGTTCTGCACAAGGCCCTGAGCTCAGTGCTATGAGGGCCTTGATGCCAGTGACCGCACACTTTTCTCCGGAGTGAATTTTCTGCTTGAACTGGCAGATTGTGTTGCTGTTACATAAACACAGGATGTGTCAGATCCAATCCTTGGGGCCTTTGTTTCAGCACCCTGCTTAAAACATCCTTGAACTTGCACTCTAGTAGAGTTTAAAAAAGGAATATACCTGTGTCCATGATTTCAGGAGTACCAGGAAGACACGACATCTCTAGAAAAAAAGATACCTCCACTCCACCTCTGATTTACAATGTTTTGTGTTAATATAAGTTTTTTTTTCTTTTTTGGTTGAATGAGAAGTCATATTTGGTATAAGGAATTCTTACTGTCTTCCTTCTCTAGGGCAACTCTCTGTCTGTGACAGACACGTCTCCATGATTTTAAAAAGGGAGGAGGGAATAGCTGGCTCTGGTAGAAAAGGAAGTCATGAGGAGGAGGAAAAGAAAAGAGAGCAGTGGATTAGCAAGTCCAGTGCTGATGATTATGCAGATCTTAAATGCGATCTTCATTTATGGTTTGGTTATTTTCATATTTTCTCTTCCATCTCATTCAGGAAGAAATATCTTTAGCGTAGTCTTGAATCAATTATCCAGTATTTATTGAGTACTTGTGCTGGATTCAGCTTTGTTTTTGGTATTGAGGACTAGGATATGAAGGATATGAGTTGCCCTCACTTTTAAGGCATTTCAAAAATTGGAGAAGAAAGAAGAATTAGAATTATTGAAAAAATTTAGAGAAGAATGTGAGATAGTCCATAATTCTGAGTGTTTTAGGTGCTCTGGGAGACTGGGGAAGGGATAGAGAATTTAAGGAAAGGGAAATAAACCTGGATTTTGGGGGTGGTTTGGATTTGGATGGGTCCCAGGAGGCTGTTCTGAAGCAAGGCAGCAGGGCCATGGCCACAGTGTGTGAACTGGGCAGAGAAACACTGAGGAACAGGGTGTTGCCCCGTTATATGGGTGAGGCCAAGATGATGAAGTGTTTTGTAATCGGTAGCATGTCATGCTATCTCGTTTTAAACATGCTTTAGGTGACTGTCTACATCAAGTTTGGGTCGCGTTGGCATCCATTCCGGAAGAATTGCGAATTACCTTCTCATATACAAATAATATCAAATGGGGGAGGGTGTGGGGAGACAATAGGAAAAATTAGAGGAAAGAATTGTGTATAAAGAGAATCAACCCTGAAGTTACTTGGTAGCAGTTCTGATAAAGCCATTTAATTGGTTAGGGAAATTCATGACATTTTATTCTAAAAATATGTTTTTTCCTTGGATTTGTCAGAGTTGGGAATATTTTTTAATAGCACTCCTCAACAATAGGAATAGGGACAGACATCTTCAGTCTATATTAATCTAGTGGTATATGTGAAGATGTTTATATTAGCTATCACCAAATTTTTTATTAGGATGCATCAATGGGTTGCTGATTACCAGTTGGTTTGATTACCAATGGGTTGTTGATAAAGAAGACAGATCTGGGTAAAATAAGCTAGACTTTCCCCATTGTGGGTCCCTTGTCTCTGTGTGTCCCTTTCATACTAGTTTTCTAGGATTCTGCCCTCAGCCATGGTTCATCATTCCATACTCTCTCTCTGGAGAATCTGGTCACCCTCATGGACTCAGGCACCTCATACATAATAATGACTTTCCAATCTCTAGCTCGTGTCCCAAATGCCTCCCCCATCTCCAGTATTCAGATTTCATCTCCCTGGCAGATAAGTTTGTCATTCTCCACATGGCTAAACTGAAGTTATCAACTTCCTCTTGAACTGCTCCCATTTTCTCGGTGATACTCAGTGGTGCCACCACCCACCCAGCCACTCCAACTGGAAACCAGGATGTCATCTTGACCTTCCTCCATGACCTCTTATAAATCCTGCACATTTTACTGTAAAAAAAATTTCTTAAATTTTTCTCTTAACCATTAGTTGCCAAAGCAAACTGGTGTTGAATTGACAGCATAAGATTTTCTCAGGTAATTTGGGTTCCAGGCATGTGTATTTATTAAAAAATCCCAATGAGATTCTGCATATTTGGAAACTACTGCCTTGGACCATTTCTAAAAACCCATAATTAAAATGGGGATAGGAGCCTGCAGGCAGCTTGGTAACCTAGCAAGGCAAGCTGATGTTCATAGGAACTTTGGGCTGAACTCTTTGCTCTGGGAAATCCCTTTTCTTAGTGTCTGTGATACTTTAGATATTTTTCTGTGAATACAGCTACATGTTTTTAGAAAATTTACATATGACCTACTTAGCTACTTAACACACTAATTAATTAATTCAGTGTATATTCCGTGTGTGCTTATGTGCCAGGGATACGATGGAAGTAAGAGAGACGCAGTTCTTGCCTCAATAATTTTACAGTCTAATGGAATATACTATGCTTTTTTTTTCTTCTTTAAGGTGCAAAATGATCTAACATTACAGAGTAATGGGAGCGAGTATTCTCCAAATGAGGTACGTTTCCTGAAGATTAATGGAGGCTGAGGTATTCTATGAAGACTGAATTGGAGTATCTTTTGCAAAAATATCTGAGACTGGCGTGATTAATGAGTTAATTGTATTGTGATTCTCTAGGGGAATCTCTCTCATTAGCTGTCAGAGCCCTATCTGCTCCTATCCATAATTAAAGATTAATTTTATAAGATATATTTTGAAAACCAAATGTGGGAACATCTTTATAGAAAACAGAGTGAACATAGCTGAAACAGGCAACATTTCGAATGTCTTGTTATCCATGAATGATTCAGTGTGTGGTTTCCCTGAAGATGAGACATCTGTTCAGTGTTATCTGTTTCCTCATCTCATTGTGTTATGAGATTCTCCATCAGATGTGCCCTCTGCGGGATGGATGTGTGTGTGTGCTTGTGTGTGCATACACGCGCTTGCACACACCCATGCTGGAGCAGAGAAGAGTGGCCAGTTTCACGTGCTTGTAAAATATTTTTGTAATGAGCAAATAAGAAATTGGATGGTTCTCCCCCAAACAACATTCTGTTGATTGTGCTACTTGAAGCATTTGAAGATGCACGTATTATCATATTTTTTAGCCAGGACTTCATCACATAGCAGCGAATGCAGAAAGGTCGTGGTTTTATTATAATCCTTGAACGTAGAGAAGTATGCGTAGTGCTGCTTCGGGTTTTTAAAATTTTCCTTTCCTTCTCACACCACAGATTAGAGAGAACTCCCCTGCAATCTCTCCCACCACCAACAGCACAGCTCCGTTTGGCCTGAAGCCTCGATCAGGTAAATTAAAACCTCAGCATTCTTACACTTGTAAACAACTCAGTAGTTTCTCTTTAGCCTTTTAAAAGTATACATTATAGTGTGACGATCCTTGTCCACTCTGGGGAGTTGGAGTCCTGGCGTCAGAACCTTGCTACGGCTTGGAGGGGCCACATTTTGGAGGCTGTTAAACCTATGTTATCAGTAATGGATTCTTACCTCATTTTGAATCAGAGCGAAGAGAAAAAGGTGGTGTGATATGTAAGTGGAAAAGATATATTGTGGTGAATTTTCTTACCCATGGAAGATAAAATAGCTACCCCTTTGCCCCATGGTTCCTTCTGGGGTACCAGGTCTCTGGGAGGGTGACTACCTTCTGAGACGTGCCTCATTTGCTTTCTGAGCCTGGTAGGGTCTGTGTATTTACTCATATAACAGGGTGATCTTTTCAGGGCTCACATGAGTGGTCAGGAGTCATTTAAAAAAAAAAAAAGCCTTTCTGCTATCACCTACTTTCTTTTAATTTACTGTTAGTATATTCACAAAAGTAAATTATAGCTATGTGCAAAATAACTATTGATTTTCAAAAGAAGGACTGTGTATAGAAAAATTTAGTTCTTCTGATTTCTCCATGGACTTTAAGTTCTGGTACTGTCTACCTTCTTTTAGGTCCTCCTTTGTTTTAATACTTTTGATTCTTTGGTCTTTCTCATGCTTCTAAGTGCTAAGAAAGGACTCAGACACTTTCAAGCAAAAGCTATTAAAGAACTCAAATGTTCTTGGGTTTTTCAATAAAACATTTGGGCAACAGTAGAAGTTATACACGTGTATATTTGAAAAAGGGTACCCATAGAGAAAAACAAAGCTGATTCTTTTATAGGAAATTTTTCACTTTGGGAGCAAGTTGACTGATGAGTAACGTGGCCGGGTGTAATGGCTTCCCAGCATTTTGAATGGGCTATAAGACAAAGCCCTTTGAGAAAATGTTTGGGTGTGGCAAGGGTTAGTAGGTGTTTTATGGAAAACCAAATAGCGCATGAAGTAGAAGTCAAATGACTGGCCTCCTCGTGTATGGAACTGGGTGTATTCAACCAGCTCTGGGCTGGGGCCCTGGGCCAGGCTTCCATTTCCACGTCTCAGGTGTGTGTTGGGAGCAGTGGAGGTCACTCAGGGCACATCTCATCCGTGCCTTTAGTGCTGGCCCGCCAGGAAAGTTATTTCTACACACTGAGGCTGTCACATTGGGCTATTGACTTTCTTCTAATCCTTATAGACAGTTTTACATAATTTTAAAATACTCCATAATTGAGCAAATCAAAAGGTGAATGGATCATCAAAGAACAATATTCTTTTGAATGTGCATCTTTGCAATTCAGTTGTAAAATTGTCTCAGTGACTTTTTTATTCCTTTTATGGAGTCCAAACTCGGCTTATCAATATTGTACTTGCACTGGTAAACCATTTCAAATTCTTTGTAGTGGTGAAAAATAAATGGACTATTTTGAATAGCAGAAAACAAAGATAATTTCCTCTCCAAGCTTCCAACCTTTCTATAACGCTGACTAACCACTGTGGAAATTGTTCTAGTGTGGAAAGCTTTGCGGAGTTCGATTGCTATAAATAAGGCTGATTTATCTTCAGGAACATCAAGTGGCGTGTTGGAACTTTTTAAAACTAGCATTATGTATTGGGAATTTTTTTCATTTTATTTAGTAATCTAAAAATATTACAGTATGTATATTTCACATTTTCCAGCTAAATATATATAGTAATCGTAATTGAAGATCAATGATTTAAAAAGATAGAAAGTCTTTTTGATTGAGTAGCTTGGGAACTTTTGAATGACAATTTTTATTTTAAAGTTAAGTATATAGATTTATGTGACTTCTGTGTTACAGATAAAAACAGACTACTCATATTAGCAAGTTGGAATAGGAATTTAGATTCTTAAAGTAGGCTGATAGTTTTCTTCAAAAGAAACATTTTTTTTCTCTTCTGTGTTTTCCTCCCAAGACAACTGTATATATCCAAATATTCATTCCTAGAACCGTGTCCATTTATTTTCCTGGTCCTGCCTTATGACTGAATAAAAATTGTGTAGATATTTCCTAAACATATAAAATTACTCTATGGATATTTAGTGCAAAAAAAAAGAGATATTATCATTTTATAAATAACCAACTCAGAAGTGCTTGAAATTGACTGACATCTATTGGTTAATTAGGTTTGTTGTGAAAGAGACTCTACTCGTGTCAAAAATTGTTTTTATACTGATCAGTATTGAAGACATTATTGAGAGATGTGTGTCAAGGGTTGAGGTTGGCTAGATTCAGCTATCAATAAAGCTTGCTGCTAGACTTACAGATATCTTTAAGGAGAAATGTTACATCGCCTTGGAAAAAAAATTCATGAATGGTCAACACTGATTCTATAATAGTTTTATTTCTAAATAATAGATATATTTACACATATTAAGCTTTGCCTATGTAGCCAAATTTTTTGTGTGAATCATATTTGCTAAAATTGTTATGTAGAAGATCTTTGGAAAGGTATCTGGTAGGTCTCTTGTGTTTTATCTGCATAATCTATGGGCACTCTCTCTTCCTGCTGACATGATTCATTAGTACTCTAAGTCTGGGCTTGCAGAACTGTTAAGATTAACAATATTAACTGCATGCAGAGTATATGATTGATAAGTACTAACACTCAGTTTTTATCATTCTTTTTATTCCATGCGCCATCTTTCATTCTTGTCCTATATTATACATTTGAAATTAAATTCCATAATATGAAATTCGCTTCATTTCCATACAATCTTATGCCATTTGTGAAATGCTGCTGCCCCTTTGGTTTTTCCTGGGTCCTTGTGCAACTATACGCGGACTGGCTCTCTCGCTCTCCTGCAGACCCCGCCCTCACTCTTCCTCCTATCTCCTTCAACAAACTTACACAGGCACAAACATGGGACAACTCTAGCTACAGTGTTCCATCTGAAGGAGACAGTGACAATGGTAGGTGGCTTTGTACCTATACTTCAATGTGCTCGTTAATAAGCCAATGAATATACTGAACAGTCATTTCTGTGCAGCTGAAAATAGAGTGTACTCAACTGCATGCCTGACAGAAGAAATCATGAGTAAACCTTAAACTAAAGTCCAGAAAAATGCATGTGGATTGTGCTCTAGCAGTTTGTCAAACTACATTTAATTATCTTGACTATTCTGAATTTTATGAGGACTTGACAATAATTTCTTCTCTGCCTTTTCTGCTTTGGTTTTTCGGTTTGTTTGCTTGTTTACAAAAATTTGGGGTTTGCACATTTGGATTATCTCTGCTTGCTCCTGTATCTAAACTAAATGCTTTTAGAGTTTGAGCTTTTATTATCTGTCTTACCATATGAGATTTTTAAGGTAATTAAGATGTTGTTCCATGGCTGATCCTAGAGTGGTGCACTGAAAATAATGTTAATATTGAGAAACTTCTAAAAATGAAGAGAAATCACATCCTTTCTAACCTTTTTAATTTTTTTTTTGCAAATTATTTGTACATTTTGACCTCTGATACCTTCTATCTTTTTGAGCATAAATTCGTCTCTACAATATTCAGAAATAGTATCTTGGCTTGAGAATCAATTGTGCAAATAAAAAATTGAGGACACCTAGCTAGGATTAATGTGGATATCTTTTAATTTCATGCCATTAAATATTTTAAATAGCATAAGAGATGAAAATAAATAAATATAATTATTTAGATCTATGTGCCACGTGTATCTGAATCTCCATTCTAGTCTAATGTTAGTTCGGATTTTAAACATTTTATTTCAAGATACAGAGTGATAAAAGTAATGTTAAATGAAACAGAGTATGATTTATAGGGAAGAGAAGTGAGGTGTGAGGTATAACCACAATGAAAACACAATAGGAAGATATATTTTCTAATAATACTTTTTTTTATATATAATTATGTTATATGTAATACATAGAAAATATATATTTAAAACATTTGTTGTGATTTCTGGTTAAAATTCAACCAAAAATGTTTTTCCAATTTCCTTATGTAGAAGGATAATGTATGTTTTGTTAGGTTAGTTATAAAAGGAATTTTATTATTTCAGATTTCTAAATTTTTTAACTGAAAATAAGTATGATTAAACAACAACAATGAAACAAAAGTCCCTCCTTATATCATCCTATTTTAAATTCTGGAAATAGAACAAGGCTAAATGGAAACTTTCTTGATAAACTGTTCCTTTACTTAAAAATGGAAAAGGGGAGAGAGGCATTTTTGTTTTTCAGAGAGCATGGCTATTTATGGGTCTGATGTTGTTTAAAGGAAATAAAGCCTAGAATGAAAGATTTATGTATGATTTGGTATTTCCTTAGGAGTGATATCTGAATCCAAAGGAATTTTTTTTTTTTAAAAGCTGAGAAAGATCTAGGCATCTTGTGTAGCAGTAGCATTTCTGTCTTTATAGATGAACCAACTAGAACCAGAACAGTGAGGTGACCTGAGGTGGGGCCACACCCAGGGTCCTGACTCCTACCATAGCTACATTCATTCTATACAGCTCTTTATTGAGGACTCTTTGTGCAAGCTCCTGAGCCAGACTGCCTTCTTTTTATTAAAAATTCTAAGATTTCCATAGAAAATAATCATTGTGAAAACTCTTTCTGAAAATACAATAACCTTACAATACTTAGTTGGTATTTTTTATAAGAGTGAAAATTCCAGGGATTCACGTGTAACTATTATGCTATACCACGATAACAATAAAGGGATTGTCTTCAATATTCATGTGGCTCAGTCAGTCACATCAGATAGTTGGTGGCTGTCATTTTTCCCTGTCTGCAGTTTGTCTGCAATATGCCCCGGGCAACAGATCGTTTTCTGTGCAGAAATCATCTTTACAAATATTTGTGCAGGTTCCCAGATCTGATTTTTTCATATACAGTCTTTGTTCTCTTTGTGCCAAACCTTGCCTTTTGATTTGCATACATTTCTAACACATTTTTTAAGTTAAT